CCACTGCTCTTGTGGGTACTGGATTGCATAGGCCTCTGTGGAGCCCCAGGTCACGCTGCTGGGGGCTGAGGAGTGCTGCTGCCCCATGGAGCTCAACTCTTGCTCAGCTTTTGCTGTAGTTTTTGGGGATGGGTGTCAGCTGCTGGTCTGTGCTTCTATTGTCTGGGGTTGGATGTCTGCTCCCCAGCCTCTGTTGTTGGGGGTATATCTGGACTCTGATCCGGCTGCTACTATGGGGGTGGTGCTGGGCTCCAGGCTGTCTGCGGCTTCCGCGACCAGCACCTTGGGAGCTCTCTACTGTGTACTGGTCTGTGTTGACACAGAGTGTCCACTGGTTCGATGGTGCTAGGTGTGCTGGTGGGCTCAGGTTGCTGGGCACTAGCCGCTCCCACTGCCTCCTCCCAGGGAAGACACTGGATCTTCCAAAATGGTGGGACCTCCCTGGGGCGCAGGGAGGAATGCCCTGAAGGGCAGCTTACTGCGATAGCCAGCTGCTCCCGTCCATAGCACAGGTACCTTCTGCTCCATGTCTCTGCACTGCTCGGGTTTGGTTGTCCACCCTCACGTCCACTCACTCTCTCACACACTCACCCTCCCTCCGGTCCTGCCCGCTGCCATCTTGTCCTTTTCCTTTTTCTTCTTCAGTATTTCATTCAACCTTTCCAACCTTGGCCTTTGCTTATATCATACTCCCAGTTCGAATGCTGAACTGTGTACACATCTCTCCTACCCAAATCTAAACAGGTACATCCTTGGAACTCCATGTTGAGGTCTGTCTATTCTCCAAAGCCTTGCTAATTTCTTGGATCACTCACTTGTCTGTGCTCTCAGACACACTGTGAGCCCTCCTTTGGTGCTAACTGGGAGGCAGTAAGGAGAATGAAAATAACTTGGAATTAGGCAGACATAGGCTGGAATTCTTGTCTCCATCCCTGATTTGCTCTAATACACAGTAAGTCAATTTCTCTGAGCCCTGAGTCCTCATCTGAAAAGTTGGAAATCAAATCTTACCTTGCAAGACTGTTGTATAAAATATGGAAAGGTATGTAATCATGGAAACCCTTTAGGACAACTCCTGGCACATAGTAGATAGCCAGTACACATTGGCTTTTATTGTTAACTTTTAATATGTGGAAACTGTGGGCAGAAGTGCATTTAGGAGAGAGGAATCATGAAGCCAGGACTGGGAGAACAAAAGTAAGATGGGGACAGATGTTGAGGCCAGCATGTATGCAGCACTCCAAGTTGGGGTGTGTCCAGACCCAAAGGCAAGTGGAGCCAGGATCAGACACCAGGGGAGTAGTGAGAAACTATACAAGCAGCTGGTGACCAGAGGTCATGGCACAAATGTGGTCACTGACTCACAGTGCTGGAATCAAGAAGAACATGCAACAAGTATTCTTGACCGTGGTGTAATAAAAAGATATACAGCTAACATTTACTGTATACTTACTTTGCCAGATCCTGTTTTGTTTTTGTTTTTGCAATTTTTATTAATTTATTTTTGTTGCAGATGTTTTTCCTTTTTCCCCCCTAGACACCCTCCTCCCAATCACCAGATCCTGTTTTAAGTGTATCATTCATTTAGTTCTCACAACAGCCCTGAGGATAAGCACTATTATAATGGTCTCCAATTTATGGAGAAGGACACAAAAACAGACTGTTTAAATAACTTGCCTAAAAAAACACACACATACAAACAGTAAGTGTGGCAGAGCCTGGATGCCAACCCAGACAGTGGCTCCAGAGCCCACAATTTTAACTACTACCCTCCAATAGGTATCTCCAACTGGAAGCCTTTCTTTGTTTATCCAGGAGCCAAACTGAAAGATGAGTTGTCTGCAAAGGGCCAGCCAGCCAGGGCAAATGATCTCTAATGTACTTATTGCTAATGTTATTAACATAACAAATGGTTGAAACAGCATTTGTGAAGCTGTGGTCCTGGCATTGTGTTAATGTGCTTTGTCTGCATTCTTTAATTACCTTAGCTATTATGCAAGACATCATCATATCTATTTTATAAATGAAAAAACGAGGTTCTTGGAGTTGCTTTCTTCCCCTTCACGTTAAAAGTGTACTACTTTACCCATCCACTCCTCATCCTACAACTATCTAGCTTCTGATTCAAGTTCTCCATTGAAACTCCTCTTACAGAGATTACAAATGATCATCCAAGGGACATTTTTCAATGATTAACTCAATGACTCATTCTTCTGCACTCCTGCTTGATGACCACTTCATCTTTCATTATTTCCTGGACCATAGTTTGTTCCATGACTGCCTCTCTGACCTAGTTTTATCCCCCATATCTTTCTATTTCTTTTTTCTTTTGCTGATTCTTAAATGTGGGTCTTCTCCAGATACATAGTCACATGCCTCCTTAATCTACATACTCTCCTTGAATGTTTCACCCACTTCCTGATCTCAGCTATCACTGAAATGCTAAAGGTAGAGGAGATGGTGCTAGACACCTATAAACTTGACAAAGTTCTTTACATACTGGAGCCCCCCTGTCTGTATCTCAAATTCAAGTGTATCAAGCTGATCACATGCAATCTTTTTCTGTACCACCTCCATTCCTGCCTGTCCTGGCCCCACCCCATCCTCCTTTTCATTATTTCATTTGAGGTGCTGCCATCCACCCAGTTACTCAAACCTAGAACCTGAAAGTCATGTTTGCCTCCTCCTCCTCCACCCTCCCAATCCACTCAATATTTAGGAGCTGTCAATTCTACCTCCATTTTGGATTTACTTCCTTCTCTCTGTAGACATGGGAAAACCTTGTGGAAGCCAACATCTCTCACCTAGTAGACCAACATAGCTCCCTCCTTGCTCTTATCCTCCTCTGGTCCCTTCTGCTGTTTTTTTTTTGTTTTTTTTTTTTTTAATGTTAGTCATAAACTTTTTAAAGCTCAAATGCAGGAAATGACATGATCAAATCTGAGCTTTTAATCCCTTCTTTGACATTCATTGTTCTTCAAAGTTCATTTTCCCTCTAAGGATAAACTCTAAGCTCCTCAACAGGCATTCAAAACTCTCTGGAATCCTGTTTCTATTTGCCTTTGGACCCCATTTCTTGCCACTCCAACCTTCTCCAGTTGTTGCAAACTTCTTGTTTCTAAATATACCAGGTCTGGCTAATTTTTTTCTTTTTTTTAGCATTTAATAGCCCCAAAGTCATCTCCTCCAGGAAGCCTTCTCTGATCTCTCATGCTGGGTTAGGTGTTTCTCCTTAATACTCCCTTATTCCCTTGTGAATATTTCTGTCACTTTTTTCAATATCAATTTATAGTTATTCCCATGTTCATCTTCTTCACTGGTTGGGATGTTCTTGGTTGAGGGCAGGAACTACTGAATTCTCGGATCTAGCACATAGTAGGCCCTTAGTGAATTATGTTAAATGAATAAATTATTCATTTTCCCAAGGTACATTGCAAGTAAGCTCTTAAACTGGAACCAAAATCTGTTGTACTCTAAAATTCATATTCTTTTCACTAATGCATTTGCACATATAAGTGTTTAGAATCCTTTAAAAACTGGCATTTTGGGGGGCCAAACTCCTTCATTAGGTTTTCTTCTAATATTTAAAATTGTTTTTAATTTTTCAATAATACATTCACCTAGTTCAGCAATCAAAGAGTATAAAAATATTTATAGCACCCAAAACAATTGGCAGCAGGGTCTCAAAAAGATATTTGTACATTCATGTTCATAGCAGCCTTAGTCACAATAGCTAAAATGTGGAAGCAACCCAACTGCTCATTGATGGATATATGGATGAGAAAAATGTGGTATATACATCAGTGGAAAATAATTTAGTCTTAAAAAGGAAGGAAATTTGCCCTGACTGGTATGACTCAGTGGTTAGAGCATTAGTTCATGCACCGAAGGATGTAAGGTTCAATTCCCAGTCAAGGGCATGTATCTGGGTTGCAGGTTCGATCCCCGGCCCTGGTTGGGGCATGTTCAGGAGGCAACCAATCGATGTGTCTTTCTCACATGGATGTCTCTCCCCCTTCTCCTCTTCCCTCCCTCCCTCCCACTCTCTCTAAGAATCAATGTGTGTGTGTGTGTGTGGGGGGGGATTCTGCAATGTGCCACAACATGGTTATACCTTTAGGACATTATACTAAGTGAAATAAGTCAATTACAGAAAGACAAATGCTGTATAATTCCACTTATATGAGGTACTTAGAATAGTCAAGTTAACACTAACAAAGGGTAGAATGGTAGTTGCCAGGGGCAGGGGAGAATGGGGAGTTACTGTTTAATGGACATAGAGTCTCAGTTTTACAAACTAAAGAGAGCTATGGGGCTGAGCGGTGCTGATGGTGGCACAACAATGTAAATGTATTTGATACCACTGAGCTGTATGTTTAAAAATGGTCAAGATGGTAAATTTTATGTTATGTGTATTTTACCACAATAAAAGAATTTTAAACCCAAAACAAACAAAAAAAGATACTGCAAGAAGTCTCATTTCCACTTTTCTCCATCTTCCCAGTTCCCACTTCCTCTGCCCCAAGGTAACCAGTCTTGTTAGTTTCTGTATCTCTTTCCAGGTTTCCTTTTTGCAAATGCAGGTGAATATGAAGCTATATATTCTTCTTCACCTCCTGTCTTTTTAAAAGGTAGTAACATATTTAAAAATTTTTTTCTTCTTTTTTCTGAAGTGGATATATAGTAGCAAAAAGAGCTAAACAATACCCAGTTTGAATGAACTCACAAGATAATTGATGAGAGGGTAAGTAATCCTGCCTGCTCACAACAATGGGGTTTCTAGGGATATCCAGGGTCCTCCAGGACAAACCCTGTTGTCCAGGTATCTCCCCAGGCAGATTCTCAAACTCCCCAGGGTTATTTTCTCTCTGGAACTCTCCTAGGCCACACCCCCTGATGCAATATCTGGGTTTGGGCAGAAAGGAGGGTGCTACACAGCCCGCCCCTTCTGAGCTCTCTGGGCCAGCTCCTCTTTACAATTCAGGCTGCACAACATCTCAGACATCAGCTCCAACATCTACGTTCTAAAGCAAGGATGGCTGGGATGGACAGGATGTTTCATTGTGAACGGAAACAATGTTCCAGGTCAAGCTGAGTCTGCCAAACACAAACCCTCAAGATAATTCTAGAAGAAATCTTGACAAGCCTTATCATGTGGTTTTTCTACACCTTGATTCCATGTTTGCTCATAGGTAAGTATGAATGAGAATACAGCCAGTAGATTGGGAATTGAATATCGGTTAAGAAGGTGAAAAATACTTTCCCAGAGGTTGGGGTTGCATTATATGCATAGAACATCTTAAGTCTGTTTTTATTTATTTAAAAAATTTTTTAATTGATTTTTCAGAGAGAGAGGAAGGGAGAGATAGAAACATCGATGTAAGAGAGAAACATCTATCAGCTACCTCCTGCACACCCCCTACTGGGGATCGAGCCTGAAACCTGGGCATGTGACTGGGAATTGAACCAGGACCTCTCAGTCCATGGGATGATGCTCAATCTACTGAGCCACACTGGCCGGGCTTAAGTCTGTTTTTGAAAAGGTTGCTCACTTCCTAAACCCTATCCCCACAGCCTAAAGAAAAGAAAAAGCCTGTATTCTGTTTGGAAATCTCTCCTAATGTCCACAGAACAATCTAGAAAGATAAAGCATCAAAACAAATAGTCTAAAGATTAACAGAGCTCCATGCGTTTTGTTGTTGATCTCATTATCTGGTTTTAAAAGGTGCAATATAGTTATCTCAGTCTGTGTGTGTGTCTTGGAAATGTTAACTGTAGGGACCAGAAATATAGTAAAGTGAAGATTATAACAAAATACACATGAATAAAAAGACATAATTCTCAACCTTAATATTGGTTACAAGACTTATAAAAATTGGTTATTTCTCCTGGTTACTAGGTAGATATCCATAGCATTAAAAAAAAAAAAAAAAAAATAGTTGGCTTAGGGCACTTTCCCTGCCAGTAAGATTACATAATTTTCTTGGATCTACTCCTGGATACTTGTACCTACATGCTTTATTGTTCCAAAATCACAGCTCTGTATTCTTTGATGTTTCATCATGCCAAGTCACATTTAAGAGAAATTTCTAATTTTAATTCTCCAAGGTACTGTGCATTTTGTAGTACTGGTAGGAGCCTTGAGTACTTTCTGTCTTTTTTATTTTTATTTTTAACACTGAGAAGTAATTATTCTAGTTAGTTTAAACCAGGCAACCAATCAGTGCTAAGGCGGTTTCCAAATGTTTAGAACTGGCTTAGACATCAATTTTGTGGTGTCCCTTCCTAGTTCAGAAACCTTCAAAGCTCCTGATTGCTCAGCACATGGCATTCAATCTGCTGTTTGTTTCATGATCCAGCATAGTCCTCTTTCTCACTACTCCCTGAAAACAAATATGGACCACAGGTGGCTGCTGTCTTCACAGTTGGCATATTACACCTCATTTCCTCCTCCTGGCCTTTATTGGTATAATTTTCCACCAGAAGCACCATCTCTATTTCCTTTCCCCATCCCAAACCCATCCTCCCATCATCACTCCAGATGGCTCCCTCTTCCTACAGACCCTTCCTAGTCTTCTCTCTCCTTTGACCCTGACCTCATTTACTCTACTTTGGTGGGTTCTGTTTCCTGCACTGATCTGAGGGCAGGGCTCGAGCATCTTTCCTGGTGTCCCCACAGTCTGTAGTATAGGCTAAGTGCATCGGCAGATTGGTTAGTTAGTAGATTGATTGATTAGCTGGTGGGACAAACCAGTTGCCAGGGAAACATTTCCCCATAAACCAAAAGGAGAAGATGAGGAGGCCAAATGTGAAGGGGAAAGGCCAGCATTTTTAATTTGACATTTACTTCAATGAGGCCACCCAATCTTTTAAACCTTTTACTGATAACTTCTGTTTCAAACAGACCTGGAGGTGAGTGTGTTCTTCTGACACCAGAAACTTATACAGAACAAAAAACAATGGTAGAAACCACAAGGATGTCAAAGCCAGAAAGACCTGTATGTGGGTTTTGCCTTGCTAGCTCAGTGACTGTATCACATAACTTCAGTTTCTGTATCTGTGAAACGGTCAAAATAGCCACCTTGAGGTTGGGAAGGGTTAAATGAGATAATGCAAGCAAAAGCACTTTGAAGATGCCAATGTGTGCCCTCCCCCCACACCTCCCACTGCACACCATGTTCGTTATTATATGTTGGCTATGTTAACAAATGGTGGTGTCAGCAGATAATTGCTTAGCTGAGGTTGCCTTTATGCAGTTTTGACTATTTCCTCTGGACTGTGATGAATTCTGCAAATTCTAAATGAACTTCTATTAGTTACTTTAGATCCTTGGACAGATGAGTAGAGTTCTTGCTTTCTTTTGTAGAATTAATTTGCTTTGCCCTGATCCTTCCAAATAATAGTGTGTGATTCAGAAAACTGATCCCCACTACCAATAATAATAAGAACAATGACAATCACAACCATCATTTCTGTGCTCTTAGATTAGCAAAATGTTCTCTTGCCATCTCACACCAATCCTGCAAGGTAAGTGCTGTTACCCCCATTTTTCACACTATGAAACAGAGTCTCAGAGAGGTTTAATTATTTGCTCAATTATATATACCTAGTAAGTGGGAGAACTGGGATTTGAATCACACTTGGTTGGCTGCAGAGCCAGTGCCCTTTCTAATTCTGTTCAGAAGAAGCTGAGACATTGAAGTAGGTCAGAGAGAGAGGGAAGAGGGACAAAGTAAAGGGAATAAAGAAGATGGTGTTAACTTTTCTGATGCATTTTCCATAATGGCTGTTGGAAATAAAGGTGGCAGAAGAGGTCCCAAACGAGACAGGGAGGAGATTTCTGCCTGTGAAGTTTCTCCAGGGGCTTTGTGGTAGACAACCTTTATCACTGACTTAGGGTTTTAGGAAATAGATGTTCAGCATAAACCTCAGGAACAGCAGAGATGTCTGATTTAAGATGGATAAGGTTTAGAAAAAAAAAAGTCAGGCCAAGGCTAATTTCACAAAAGGAACCAAGACTTGGTTCACTTGTTTAGTTTTCAATTATTCTGCATTTCTGAGCTCCTCCTATGTGCTGGGTTCTGGGCTAGGTGCTGGTTAGAGGTGAACAAAACAGTCCCTTGTCTTCAGGGAACATAAGAGCCTGCTGGAAAACACACTTAATTAAGTCTTTGGCATTTTGGGGTTTACTATTCAGTTTTAAATATTCTTTGGCCACCAGAAGCTAGGTCTGGATTAGTGGTTTCTTAGTCTCAAATGTATATTGGAATCATCTGGAGAGATTTTAAAACTACAAATGCCAGAATTTCACAGCCGGAGAGTCTGACTTAATTAATCTAGGGTACTGCCTGCGTGTTGGGAGTGCTCAAAAAAGCATAGAGGCCTAAATGCAACCAGTATCCTGAACTGGATCCTGGAACAGAAAAAGTATATTAGTAGAAAAATTGGCAAAATTTATATAAAGTTTTGAGTAATGTACCAATGTTGGTTTCAAGGTTAACACTGTCAGTATAAAGACATATTGACATCATGTTCTCCCTGTGAGTATATGCCAAAAATGTATAACCTCAATCAAATCATGTAAAAACATCAGACAAACCCAAACTAAGGAATATTCTACAGAACAATTGGCCAGTACTCTTAAAAAATGTCAAGGTCATAAAACACTAAGAAAGACTGAGAACAGATTAGAAGCGATTAACTAGACATGACAACAAACTGTGGGATCCTAGATTAATTCCTGGGTGGGTGGGGGGCATTAGGGGAAAAACTGATGAAATTCAAATAAATACTGAAGTTTAATTTTCATAGTTGTATTATGGTTACATACATATGGAAGGCTGAGTGAAGGGTATTATGTATTATTAATCCTCTATATACAAGTCCAGGGATTTGCAGTGGAGAAAGAAGTAATTTATTTTTATAGGATTGGCCAATCGGTACTATAGGTGAGCTCCTGCTTTTATTTATTTATTTAATATTTTTTCTTTATTAATTTGAGAGAGAGAGAGGAAGGGAGAGGGAGAGAGAAACAGAAACATTAATGAGAGAAAAAATCAACTGGTTGCCTCCTGCATGTCCCCCACTGGGGATTGGGCCCACAACCTGGGCATGTGCCCTGACCTGGAATCAAACCAGCGACCTCTTGGTACATGGATTGATGCACAACCACTGAGCCACACTGGCCGGGCTTTTTAAAATTTTTTATTTGAGTTCCTGCTCTTAAAGATCCAACTCCCGATTGGTATGTAAATTATGGATTGCATAGGGCAAAATCACAAGACACTGTGAGTTAGAGGTTTCAGTCCTGTTAAGAGGTGATTGGTTGAAGATGACGTAAGGGTAATACATTATTTCTTTAGTCTTGAAGACATCTCTGAGCTCTGCTTCAGGGTCCCTCTGTCAGGTTTCATGGAAAAGTAGCCAAGGGGTTCATTCTACCTTATGGCTCAGAAGTTGTAACATAACTTAGGTCAAGATGTTATCTTTAGCCTGTCCGAGATTCAAACCTTGTGACCATTGGTCAGGTCCAGACTACTGTCTTCTGCTGCTTCAGGGTTAATGATTATCATGGGGAAAGGCATGTAGAAAGAAGAAAAGAAAAAAAGAGATTTCTAAAGCTATAGTCATAAATCAAATCATAATCACGAAGGCTCTTGATTAAATATGAAAGTTTTTTGTACTATTTTTGCTACTCTTCTGTAAGTCTGAAATTATTTTATTTTATTTAAAAAATTTTTTTCTGTATTGATTTTTAGAGAGAGAAGAAGGGAGAGGGAGAGAGAGAAACATTGATGAGAGAGAACATCGATTGTCTGCCTCCTGCATGCCCCCCACTGGGGTTTGGGCCCACAACCTGGGCATATGTCCTGACTGGGAATCGAACCAGTGACCTCTGGGTGCATGCGTCGATGCTCAACCTCTGATTCTCACCGACCAAGCAGTCTGAAATTATTTTAAAATAAAATTGAACAACAAACAACCTCCCCAGTAGTTCTAGTGGGCAGCCAAGAATGATGAAAACCACCATGTAGTCCCTAGACCAGTGCTTTTCAAGGTTTAATATGCATATGAAATTACCTGGGGACTCTTGTTAAAATGCAGATTCTAGTTCAATATGAAACTGGACACAATGGGTTCAAGGCTGCCTGTCACTGCTTGAGCCAAATTAAGCAGAGACAGAGTTGAATCA